TTTGAGACTTTAGTCTTTGCAACTTTAGGGATCTTATCTATTCATGAACAGCTTGTAACACTCCAAAGAGAAAGGAAAACTTGAAATTGCATCATATGACCCCTTTCAATTATTGAAATAGTAACTGATACTATTTTAGGCAAAAAAGGGAATAGTGAGAATTCAAATAAACTATAAAAACCATTTCAAAATATACAAAATACCATATTTATGGTAAGCAATGAAAAAGTTTAAACAACATTGTAAAACCTATCACCTTGACAATCCAGTCCTGAAACAGCTGTACCACAATATCTCCAATAAACACAGACACTTCTTTAGTCCAAGACACTCCCCTACGTCCCCGGTCCTCATTAGACACATGAACACTGGAACACAAACACAAGTGTCTGTTCAGACTATGTACATATGGACTACACTTTTTAAATCTCTTTTTAAAATAATGTTGCTAACTTGCATTTTTGGGTGAATTATTCTTCTAATGCACAAAATACACTACTGTTCAAACATTTGGGATCGGTCTCATGCTCACACTCATTTGATAAAAAAATACAGTGAAAACAGTACTACTGTGAAATAATATTCTGAGAAAAAAAGTCAGAATTGCAAGTTTATATCTTGCAATTCTGACTTTGTAACTCGCAATTGCAAGTTTATATCTCAATTCTGAGAAAAAAAGAATTGTGAGATACATTCGCAATTACCTTTTTTATTTTTAATTCAGTGGCAGAAACAGGCTTTCATATTTTTCTGTTTGAATGTATTTTAAAATGTAACTCATTTCTGTGAAGCAAAGCTGAATTTTCAGCATCATTACTCCAGTCTTCAGTGACATGATCCTTCAGAAATCATTCTAATATGCTGATTTGCTGCTCAAGAAACATATCTTAATATTATCAATGAAAACAGACATGCTGCTTAATATTTTTGTGGAAATTGTGATATTTTTCAGAACAAAAAGTTAAAAAGAACAGCATTTATTTCAAAGATTTTTTGCAACAAATGTCTGTACTGTCACTTCTGATCAATTTAATGCATCCTTGCTGGAACAAAAGCATTCATTTCTTTTTTTAAATCTTACTGATATGATATGATTGAGACAATATACTGAGCACCTGAAGTCTCCACCCTCACAGTCCTGAGCCAGAACATATGTGCACTTCCCCTGGAAGTTCACCATCTTTCCATCAAACGTTCGGTAGTGAGGGTCTCCAAACACAATGCAGGTGGCGGGGTGAGGAATGCAGTGAGGACAACACATTCCCGGAACCAGAGCCGGCGTTTCATCCTACAAACACACAAATGTATGATACATTCAGCTCAGTTACTATTCAAAAATATCCTCACTAATACATTAAAACCTGTCAAACACCGACTTGTGAGTTTCAGTAGGTTTGCATCTATGTGAAGTCCTCACTATTATATAGTATCCTCAAAGGTGTATTGTCATCCTACCGAGGCACATGTGAGCGTTGGGCATCTCTGGGTCTGGCAGTGCACTTCTCCATACACACAGGTGCAGGACGTACACTCGTCCACTTCCCAGTGGTCATTGTGGTTGTACCGCTGACCATCGTACACACACTGCGCAAGAGCGTCTTTGGAGTAAACCACAGTTAAGATGCCTGTGCACTCAGGACAGCACTTCCCAGGGTTCTTCACTTTGATCGATCCATTCAGACAATCGAGAGGAGAACACTCCTGCAGATCACACTCGATATGCCCTTGCTAAAACACACATATATATATATATATATATATATATAGCTATAGTTATTACTTTGAATTGCACATAATAATCCATAAAAAGTAAATTAATGGGATTCTAGAACTTTTGGTCCATATGCAACAGAGTTTGGTTTGTTTGATGTGAGAACATTTTTTTTGTGTTTCTCCTGAAATGGTTTCCTGACAATTAAATGTTAGTCTTCCTCACATTGCAGATGCAGGTGACACACTCGTTCTCCTTGTCTGTCCATCTCCGGCCGTTTGACACGCGGGTTTGGTTGCCGTCTAATACACACTCTGAGACACACACATATACGGATGAGCACACATGTACAGCGTTGCACTGTTTCTGATAGAGAGACTCTTTACCATCACAGACGGGGCAGCAGGAATCCGGCGGTGTGTGCTGATCGGCCGGAGGGCAACTGAGAGGAGGACAGCCCCGATGGATACATGTCCACGTCAAATCCTACACAAACACATTACTCATACATCATATCAACGCACATGGCTTTTTAAAACAGTAGTGTGTGTGTTTATATACCTTGCACTGACAGGTAAAACACGGATCATGAGTGGCCAACACTTCATTACCGATCAGTGTAGCTGTGCAGTTACTGAGGGGCTCTGAAACACAAACCACAAGAATACAACTATCATCCTATAACATTCATTTTAAAATCAAATGATCTGGAGAAGCTGAACTCGGATTTCAAATTAGGACAGTCGTGCGTTGGGTTAATAATGGTGTGGGTTGCTTATTTTGGTATAAAATATATTCATTGTTTTAAGTGACTACATTTTTATGTAATTTATGTGATTATTTAAGCGTCTTGCATTGCAGTTTTGCATTTACTTATACTTTTCAGATCAATAAAATGTTAAAAATCCAATGAATTAATCAAGTGATCTTAAAAAGGACTTAAAAAGATCTTCGTTTCGAAGACATTCCATATTTAATTTGACATAAATAAAGTATGGTTTGTTCAATATGGGTCACTGTTGTGAAGATGAGTCAAAGTTTGACATTTTAAAAATTAGATTCAATTAGAAAATTAGAAATGAACATGGACAGGACAGAGAATAAATTTAACTGAAATACATCAAAACTTATTTTTATCACCCCAAATGAAATAAAAAAATAAAAAAATATATTTCTAATAATAGAAATAATAGAAATGAAGAAAGAAAAACAAAATATAACAATTAAACTGATCAGAGTTATTTTAGTATTATTTATATACTATTACAGTATTCATTAATACTTTAAATAGGCTATTATTTTGCTATTTTCAGTTTTATTTTTTTATCATTTTAGTTTTGTCATATTTATTAGTTTTTCTTATGCTTTTTATATGTATTTTTATTATGTTTATTCATATTTATATTTAGCTTTAATTTTATTTCAGATTTAGACTTATTTAGTAAAAGTTATTTTAGTATTTCAACAAACTTAAAAAGCTAAAATTTGTTAAATTAGTATAAATTTCATCAATTATTTATATTTTATTTAATTTTAGCTTTATTGCAGTTACAGAAATCATTTCAACAAGGTTCGATTCGTAACATTAGTTAATGCATTAGGCATCATTAATGTTAATTTCTACATATACTAGTACATTATTAACATTTCAAGTTCTATAAATTAACATTAATGTGTTATGAACAAACATAATTTATAATAAATACGCTTTTGTTCATTTTCCATTTGGTTTTGCTACAATATGTGAGAATAAAGAGACTAAGGAGTGATAAAACTAGCAGTGCAATGGAAAGCATCTGCTGACAGCAGTTCATACTAACGTGCACAGACAGGGCAGCAGGAGTCAGAGCCACTGTATAGGATGTTGTGTTTAGGACAGTCCACCAGACTTGGGCACTGCTTCTTGTAACAGCGCAAGTGCTGTTCCCCGTCTGGCATCACCTACCACACACACACACACACACACACACACACACACACACACACCCGTAAGGCAAGAAAAACAACACATGCACACATCATGTTGTGATGAGCCGTACCTCACAGATGCAGATCTGACAGGGGTCATCAGAGGCGTGGAAACTCTCTCCAGGGCCGTACACACGGCCTTCATACACACAGTCTGACAGAAGAAAAACACACATTTCAAACTCAAGACCTTCAGAGCAAAACTATGCATTCACGAAACTGTTTGTAGGGATTGTAGTTGTACCTGCACACACTGGGCAGCATTCGCCCGGCACGCTGATCTGGTTTAGACAGGTGGACAGACAGTAGACCTCTGAGCAGGTGGTCACTCCATTCACACACATGCAGGACATGCAGGGACTGCTGGATGCAAACCAGGTACTGCCTTCAAGGTGCTCAACGCCATCATAAATACAGCCTGAAAAACAGAGAGAGAGAGAGACGGATTACATTAGTAGCATTTATTTTAGTCAAAGTGTGATCTATACATAAAATTGATAAGTTTATATAATATACATACATACATACATACATACATACTAGGGCTGTGCAAATAATCGAATGCGATTTTCATGCGCACCTCGTCAGTAAAGCCGGTTCTGTGATTAGTAGTAAATCTCCAGCACGTGCTTTCAGATGGAGTGGCATTTACTACACAGAGCCATAGTTCACTGACAAGCTACGCAATATCGCATTCATAATCGCAGGCGATTCATTGCCGATAATGAACGTGATATTACGTAGCTTGTCAGTGAACTACGGCTCTGTGTAGTAAGTGTAGTAGTTGCACAGCCCTAGTATGTATGCATGTATGTATGTATATATATATATATAATATTTAATATAAGATAATTAAAGTGTTTATTTTAAAATGCATAAATAATTATTACATTTTATTAACTAAATGTATTTTAATTAATACATGTAGTAAAATTTTAATTAATGATAAAATTCAAAAATAATATAAAATTGTAATTAATTATTTGTTCTTTTTGTTAATGTTAACCAAAACTACAAAAAATAATTTTCGTTAATTGAAAAAAAAAAAAAAAAAAAATACAGGAAAGTTTTTAAACTTAAAAAAAACCTTAAAAACAAAAAATAAAAATGCTGCCTTGGCAAATAATTGAAATAAAATAAGTTTAAGCTGAAGTAATAAAATTACTAAAACAAAAACTAATACTAAATAAGACTATTATTATATAATATTACAATATATAATTATATAATAATATTATATGATATTAATATTTAATTATATTAAAATAAATAATAAAAATGACAATAGCACAACTAAAAACTACAACTAAAATTAATATGACCACCAAGAGTTTACCACATCAAGAACGATCATGATGAATGTCATAGGGGTCTAGTCTAGGGGTCACAGAAAGGGTGGGAAATTATCATGAAAAACTAAACTGGTGCAAAAAAAAATGGATTTAAATAACATAAGTGGATTTTAGGGAAAAAATAAAATGCTATATGGCCTCTTTAATGGACGTGTCTGTACCTCTGCAGCGGGGACAGCAGGAGCCGGGATCAGTGACCTGATGCATGCAGGTCAGTTTAGGACAGTCTGGACCCACACAGTTCACCTCACCGTTCTGAACACACACACATTTGTAAACAGTGAGCTTTCTATCAGTCAAATCTCAGCAGGATGAAACGACTGGTTTTGTGTGTTGTGTGTCTTACCACACAGGTGCATTTGATGCAGGGCTCATTGGGGAGGGTCAAGCTCTGTCCTTCTAAATACTCCCGACCTTGCTGAAAACACGCTGTGAGGCCGAAGAGATCACATGTCAAAACCAGATCACATACAGACACAATCATCACAGGAACACAAACTCACATCTTTTCCAGAGCCTAGATGACTTTTCTAGAGCTTAGTGAGCTCAGCTGATCTCAATAGAGCTTGAAGTTAGGTATTTTGATATACATTAAACCATATTACAGTTTGATTACCATATTTATGTATTATGATATTTGCATAGTACTCGAGAAAGAATTCATGATTGTACCATGGTACATGTCCAAAAAAACCATGGTATTACCATGCCACTTTTTTTTGTTAATGTATTGTTGCTGCCGTAAAATCATAATAAAAAATCTGGGACCCTCCTTTATAACAGTGTAGAAGCATTTTTATTTTATTTTGTTAATTGAACTGAATTGTTGATGTGAAAAAAAAAACATGGTTTTACAATGGCACTTTTTTATTAATGTATCGCTACTAACGTAAAATCTTATTAGAGATCCTCCACAACAGAGTAGAAGTTTTATTATATTTTAAACATGGCATTATAATGGCAACTTTTTGTTAATGTATTGTTGCTAGTGTAAAATCCTAATAGGGATGCTCCTTCACAACAATGTTTAAGATTTTTATGTCAAGTTTACATTTTTATTTTATTTTGACAGTGGAAAGAACATGGTATTACAATGGCACTTTTTATTATTGTTGCTAGTGTAAAATCATAATAAATTGTGTATTTTTAATGTCTTAAATTCTATTTTTAATTGAAATAGAATTTATAGATTATTATATTTTATAGATACAGATTCTTTTATATTGATTTGATTCCTTAAGTTGCTGCCTAAGTAAAACATCGTAGAACATGTTGTCTGCTGTTTGCTACAGACACACACACTGACCTCTGCACTGTGGGCAGCACTGTCCCGGCGGGATGATGGGGTTATGGCAGGAAACCGGGGGACAATTGACCGGGCTGCATGTAACAGAGCCGCTCTGACACACGCAGCGCTTGCAGGGGTCTGAGGGGGCGTAGAACGTCTGCGTGTTTCCGTACCGCTGCCCTTCAAACAGACAGCCGTCACACACGGGACAGCAGTCCCTCATGCTCACCGGATGAGCGCACTGTTGAGGACACCGCTTCCTCTCGCAATACACACGGCTGTTCTGAAAGACACATACAATGGCACTTTTTTCTTAATGCCTTCTTGCTACTAGCATAAAATCATAAAATAATGTGGGATCAAAACAGTGTGCTTTTATTTTATTATTCTATTGTTGAAAGTGGTTAAGTTAGAGTTTTGTTTTGACTTACAAATGCTGTACTATGGTGCAGTAATGTTATCTATTGGTAATACTGTACTATTATATTTTGTACATAGTACATGGCTAAAAAACATGGTATTACCACATGGTATTTTTATTTTATATTTTATTGTAATTTATTTCATTTTATCTTTTCTTTTCTTTTTCTTTTTTGTTGACCGTGAGAAACATTTTTAATATATTTTTATAAAACAATTTCATATTTTGTTGTATTTTATTTTATTTTATGTTATATTTAATTTAATTTTGTTTCTTATTGTTGACATTGGGGGGAAAAACATGGTATTACAATGGCACTTTGTTAATGCATTGTTGCTACTATCATAAAATCAGAAAATAATCTGACAGCCTCCCTCACAGTGTACATGTGGTTTAAGAGTCATGTTAAAAATACCACAGTTACTCCTCTGATTGTTACTAGTTATAGTGACAATCTGAGAAGTAACTAGGATATTTTGTTGGTAACTGTAGTTACTATGGTAAATTTACACATATATATAGGTGGTCTTACCTGGCATGTGTAGGTAGAGCAGCAGTCGTTGGGTAGGTTGAACATATAGGGTGGGTGGGTTTTAATTTCAATAAAATGTAAATAAATAAATTATGATTCTGTATGAGTGTGTACTTACAGAACATCTGTAGTGACAATCTGAGAAGTAACTAGGATATTTTGTTGGTAACTGTAGTTACTATGGTAAATTTACACATATATATAGGTGGTCTTACCTGGCATGTGTAGGTAGAGCAGCAGTCGTTGGGTAGGTTGAACATATAGGGTGGGTGGGTTTTAATTTCAATAAAATGTAAATAAATAAATAAATTATGATTCTGTATGAGTGTGTACTTACAGAACATCTACACTCCTCACATGGTGCTGTGGGTGACTGGAATGGCTCACCATTGGCATAAACCCTTCCCTCATACTGACAGCCTGGGCAATAAACACATACACACACGCACACAATCTTATCAATGTGCAGGTCACGCTTTAGTTTATATCAAAGCCATGAACCCCAATTTGCAACTTGTTGGTCAGTTGCAGGTGTTAGGAAGGGGACGAGCATTCTCATTCTAAAGATCTTTGATTGGACAAAAGTCTTTGTAGTGCAGGAGGAGGAGTCATCAATACTTCTTACATACATAAAAGCAAAAGTGCACTTTGTCAATGAAGTACACTAGGAGAACACTAGCATATATATGGCATCTTAAAATGAATAAAAACACAAATTTTTACTTTACAAAAAAAACAACAACTTTAAAGCACAAAATGTATATAAAATGCATTGACAAGGCTGTTGTGGGATTTGTAACTAGTAATGTGGACACGGTGTTATACGGTACCATCACACACTGGACAGCACTGGCCCGGCTGGGTGATGGGGTTACTACATCCTGGGTTTGGACATGGCCTCCTGTCGCAGGTCACCTGACCATTCCTGCACATGCAATGACTGCAGCGATCAGCGGGGTCTGGAAACTCCTGACCGTTCTGATACTCCCGGCCATCATACATGCAAGCTAAAACACAGAATCCAACTCAATATAATCATAACAATCAATTAATTAAAGGGATAGTTCACCAAAACAGCTGACAGCAGCCATTGACTTCCATAGTATTTTTCCTATGAAAATCAGTGGCTAACGTCCACTGTTTGGATACTAAGATTCTTCAAAGTATCTTCTTTTATGCTCAACAGGAGAAAGAAACTCATACAGGTTTGGAGCAACTTGAGAGTGAGTTAATGATGACAAGTCAAAGATAACAAAATTTTAATTTTTGTGTGAACAATCTCTTTAATACAAAAGACCCTTAATTGCAGCTACTAATAATACTCACTCCTTTTCATTTTCTATGAACCACACAAATCATCATATACGTATAAATGTAAGAAAACTCACATAACATCACACTGTGTGTGTATGTGTGTACACACTACTTTAGGAGAACACTAGCATATATACGCTGGTTCATGTGCCGGATAATTGTTTAAAGTGGTCATCGGATGCCACATGCACTTTTACAAGCTGTTTGAACTGAAATGTGTGTTGGCAGTGTGTGTACCCAACCACCCTATAATGATAAAGATCTACCCGTTATTTTTTTTATCATTTCCCCTTTCTCATATCAAGCCATTCTCAGATGCCTGTCTGTGTGACGTCACACAGACAGGCCCCTCCCACGATTGTTGATTGACACTAGCGTTTTACCTTAATCCCGCCCTGAGTGAGATGTCATCAGTCCGCCATTGTTTCGACGCCGGAGCAGGAGTAGACCAGAATGTCTACTAAGCACTTTTTTATATGTTCTACATTTCATGTATTTATGTAACACATATTCTACATTAAAATACATTTAGAATGAACAATAACTGCTGTACAAAGAGTAAAAAAAAAAAACAATGCAGAATCGTTCTATGTGTACTAGATCAGAGCCAGTTTCTTATTCTCCTCATAACTGAGAAACTTATTTCTGATGTAGCCGAACTAGAGCCCCGACTTTTTTACGCCCCTCTGGCCTGTTTTAGGCTTCTCCTTATTTGTATACTTTAGACATCCATCAATTAGTGATGAAAAAAATTGCTACGCTGGTGGAAACAACACGAGACTGTGCTACTGCGACTGTCAAGAGCAGCTCGACAGTGTTTTAATGTCCCGCCAGCAGCAGCATGTATGGTGCATGCCATCAGCGCAGCTGAACAGTTCTGTGTTCAAATGCACGCAATAGCCTTAAGCTTGCCGCAAAGCATCGGCAAAAGTAATTACCATAAATGTGTCAGGGGGAAACAGTAAGGAGATATTTGAATTATTTACTAATAAATAGTGTTTTCTGAGTCGGTGTCGCAAAGATGAATTTGCCAATCCTGACTCGGCATCTCCTCATTAGACATACCTTGAGAGAAGTGCATCTTTACGGATTATGATTATAATGAAAGAGTTTTAGATTTTTTTTTGTGATATTTTATTGATTTTATTTATTATAAAAAATGCAAAGTGATTGCGCTGGCGCCTCCATGTCCTGCAAAGCGCGCTTTAGCTTGCACTCTCCGCACAAACGATTGGATATAGCACACATTTATCTAGGTTTAACGTGTAAACATTGTTATATGCTTGAACTGTTTTATATCAATAGATTTTATTTTAGGCAAGTCGTGATGATTTGAGAAGGCTAAATTGATCAAACATATAGGCTCATTGTCTGCCGCTGGCCACTTGGTCGTTACTTTAAAAAACAAAAACTAAACGAAATATAATCACTTTGCCATTACATACAAAAATGAACCATTTTAATAGCTGACACAGTAGTATAGGCTATTTTGGGAGAGGGGGAAAAAATGACGGGCTCGGGTCGGTAATTCTGATAAGCTGTCGGGTGACTCAGTCAGTCCACCACATTTTTATTCGCGGGTTTATTAAAAAAATACAACGAATTTCCATTATTCAGTTAACTTGCTAAAGCGGGAAAATAATGAAAAGAGAGATCATGATGAGTTGCGGCTTGCGAGGATGGGGCTTAAATATCATAGAAATTAATTTAGCCCAAAACGTACTTATTCTATTCACTAAAATAACAATATAATACAAATAAAATGAGAAAATATAAATGATAAAATTTTTATATTTTATTCATAGCTCAGACAAAATCTATACAGTATATACTGTAGATAGATAGATAGATAGATAGACAGACAACAGTTCTTTCTGGCCCTTGAATCTGATTGGCTGATAAGAGTGCGATATTCAAGTGATAACAGAACTCCAACTTTCACTGTTTGTATCGCTCTGCTTGCGCTATTCCTCACAGCGAGTGTCATGGCGGACACCCAAATCCACAATAATTTTATAAATAATACTGTTTTTGTGTCACGGAATGTGGTTTTTATGAGCTTTTAGGTGAGAATGTACTTGTTTAGACTACAAATATGTAATTTACTTCCAACAAAACCTTGTTAGACACAGACAACAAATGCACTGAGCAGCGCTGTCATCGGAAATCACCCTTAACAGATGAAA